GAATGTGTGTCGATCGATGTTGCATGAAGGGTGTCGATCGATCTTTCCCGTGTAGGCTTACGGAACGTGCATAGACCCGCATGCTCCTTCCTTGAAGGACTGAGAAATCCTCTCTTCATTGTGCTCTGGTACTGAGATGTGTACCTGAAATAGAAGAAATTTTCTTTTAATGAGTTTTTGTAATAAATAAAATAACCTAGACTAAATCTAACTAAATAAGATCTAATGGCGATCAAAGCTCCCCAGCAACGGCGCCAAATTTGATACCACTCAAATTACCCTACGGAGTGAATTACTCTCTCAAGTAAGAGGTTCAGTTGTAGTACTTAGATATCGAATCACGAGAAGCTAGAGAACCAATTAAATCTAAACAGTTATTAATAATCTAGGTAAATAAATAATAAAATAGTAAATAAATAATAAAGCAGGAAATAATGCAAACAGTAAATAAAACAATAAACAAGGTGAACAAAACTACTGTTCAGTTTGGCAAGAGGTTTGTTTGATGGAAGGTTGGTTGCTAGATCTAGGGTTTCTGTTCAGGTATTGGGATTATAATTCTATAGGATGCTATCTAGTTGCTTGCGAGATACTATAGAGCATTAACTATCTTGTTGAACAATATACTTAAACTAACATTCAAATAAATGAGTCTAATGACCAGATGATCGCAATTGAAAGTGTCGATCGATTATCTATAGGAAAATCGACCGATATACTAAACTCATCATCGACCGATTTCTGCTAGGAAAATCGATCGATGACTCCGGTCAAGCAATACACACGAGTTATAAACCCACTAAAGATCTCTAAATCAAATCATGTCAATTATATTTCTAACAAATCTTAGCTTAATAGGGATGTGCACATGATATTCAGAATCACTTAAATGTCTCTAATCCAACCTAAATAATCCAGGATTCAATGTTTTTAGTTAGATACTCTAGAACCATGAGAAATTAAAACATCCTATTAATGAGTATCACAACTAGCAATCCTATAGTTGAGGTTAATCCCTCTAACCTATTTGAACCCTAAACCTAACAGGTGGATCTACTCTAACATGAAGTTTGTCACATAAATCATGGATGAATAGATGTAAAATATAAAAACAATAGAATAGATAAAATATGAAAACCAAAGAAACAAAGAAATCAAAGGAGTTCCAGGAGGACTCTGTTAGGAGTTCCTCCCTTCTCTCCTAAAACTTAGAACAAGACAAGTAAAAGAGCGTTGTCGTCAACAATGACTTACGAAACATATAAATAGGGCTTCTGGTCGTCTAAGGGCATTCTGGTAATTTGTGGCAACTCCTGGGATAAAGTCGGTCTTTAAATATACTCGGCCCGCGTTCTGTGATCTCCATCGATCGACACATGTAGTGTTGCATCGATCGATTCTTCTTTAACTTCTCGACAGCTTTCTCTTGCGAGGCAGACTGACCGCTCTTCAGTAAAACGGGAATAACATCTTCTACAGGATGCTGATTGACCTAAAACCGGTGGAATTGGAAATCTAACTCAAAGTTCTATCTTGTGTCAAAAGATGGGCGAAATCTAACTGTATAAAGGTATCCATCCATAGCTAAACATCTGACACGCATGTGCAGTTGTGCACTCAAAGGGCTCGAAAAGACACCAAAATCACTATATTTCTCTAGAACGTACCTGAACCTGTAAATACTATAAAAAGACTCCAAAACATAATAAATATATCTTAAAAACTTATATACCATGGCTAATAATGGGTAAAATCCATGGTATATCAATAGCATAGAGCTCTTATCAACAGGCGTGTCAAAATTTACAGCAGAGATTGATTAGGAGTTGTTGCCGTGAAAGAAGAAACGCAAATCTGAAGTTTGTGGATTTTTTTTTTTACTTTGAGATGAAACATGGCTATTGGTAGTGGCCGTATGTGCTCTTTATACGAGGTTACAATCATGTCAAGGGAGAATAGTGCAGTGTCTCAAGGGGAGCTATTGATACAAGAAGAAAAGCATGTGACACGACAAGTATCAGATTGTGTTTACAGATGGGTTTGTTCTTGCATCCCTGTAGGGATTTTTCAAAATCCGTCAACGGTTCTTTGATATCTCCAATCCTTCGAGCTCTGATTTCTGGAAGGATTGCTGTGTGAAGATCAACTTTATTTAACTTGGAAGAGATATTGGAAATTTGCAGCTGTTTTGCTTTGTCTTATCTGCCCTGAAGCAAAGTATGAAAGATGCCGGACTGTCCTGTTGATCAAGTGTGAGTCCTAAGGGAGTTTGGTTGCAAGGTTTCAGAAAATGGGTTTCAGACCGTGCACATAGGTTGGTTACAGACTTTGCATAGAGGTTTGTGGAGAACATGCCAAGATGTGTCATGAATATCATAGAACGATTAGCGAAGAGTACATGAAGATACTCAAACACATTCTATGGAGTTAGATTGCAGAAGGATCAAGTTAAGAAGTGTTAAATCTCATGATTGGTTGGTTGCACCAGAAGAAAATCATATATTGGTTCTATTAGCACTGTGGAAGTATTCTGAAACAAGATGTGATGAAGAGAAAAATACTCAAGTATATTCCTTCGATGCAAAATCTATCTTCTACTTACATCTGCACGAGTCAAAGACAAATGCCAAATATGGTTTAACATAGAAGCCAAAGGAGGATAAGAACTTCAAGCATGATATACCCCATTATAGCAATCAGTATGAGATTTTATCTTAGTTATGCACTCAAGCAGGGAGAGAAGTTGTTATTCTTGTGGTATCTACTGGATATTTGATGTAGCTATAGCTACTAGGTATTCTTACTGCTTTGAGATTATGGAAAGCATGATATATGGGGAGCAAAGAACAAGAACAATAGGTAAGAGCTTGTATTTAGTGCAAAGGGGAGCTCAACCATGGGAGAGCCTTTCTGAAGAACAAATAAAGTGCTTGAGTATCAAACTAAATTAAAAAGGGATAGAATGAATAATCTTGTTATTGGGACTTCCAGATGATGTACTAAGAAGCATTGAGTGTGTGTACTTGGATTCTAAAACTCAGTCACCAAGGGAGAGATTGTTAGTGTTGTGTTGACTAGTTTGCGAAGGTGCTTAGTTTGAGAAGGTGCTTTGTTTCTAAACGCAGTCATCAAGGTAGAGATTTAAGATGTAATGCTGACTGGTTTGAGAAAGTACTGAAACATATCTTAAAGATGTAGCATACGTCTGTAGTGTTCATGTGCTTTTGCCGAAGTAATACAGTAAGTGGTACAAGAAGTCATTCAAGAAGCTAAGCTGTGAGGCGACTGCGAAAATATATGAGTAGACAACATGGATTCGACTTATACAAGCTAAGATGTGGCTGCTGAATTAAGTAAACATCTTAAATGGTATATTTAAGATGATGAAGAATTTCCTTATTCTTAAGAGAAAAAAAAAGGAAAGATTGCTTAGAAACCCTAAGGTGTAGGGTTTAGTAATCATATAAATACCATGAGGCCGTCAAAGAAAAAGATACGTGTCCAGGGTATTCTTGAGAGAGGCACACAAGTGTGTGATGTCGTCCTACCAGACAAATGGTGAGATCTATTGGTGGTTTAGTTGTAGAGAACTATGCTCTTCATAAGAACAATGAGAAGTAGTTGCTCTAACCATTGTAATCTAGATAAGAGTGGTAGGCACAAGTGTGTGCTAAATACCATATAGCAATTGTAGGTTGCCGCCTTTTCTAAGGAATGGTTTTTGGATGTGGTCCCGGGAATATAGGAAACGAACCTCGTTAACAATTCTCTATTTATTCTTTACTTTATGCTCATATGTACTATACATGCACATCAACACATAGATCTAGCCACAATATGCACTTAGAACATGCCCATCAGTGAAATCGCTAGGCACGGGTTCTTAGGCAGCTTTTTAATATTTTTTTTTGACTTTAAAAAAAAAAAAAAAAAAAAATGGGCGAGACCCATGACAATCCGGGTTCATCACGGCAAGCTCGGATGATGCGGGTTCATCACTGTTTGCCTCGAAAAACGTGTGAACCCCCCTTAAAAACCCATAACGGGCATGCTCTTAGACATTGTTCCTATCAGTCTAGTTTGTAAGTCAGATAAGGTAAACGTCGAGCACTTCCTATCTGTCTAGTTTAAAAATACGAAATGCGATTTTACAATTTTAAATGAAATTTCAGTTAGAAAGCGTGTAAAGAATTTTATTTAAGTGGTTTATAAACAATTGATTTTTTTTTCTTTTGTTTTTCTACATGTTTTAGAAACAGATATCTGTGACTTAGTTAATATTATTACTGAGTCATAAAATAAAATAAAAATATAAAAATTAGGTTTTCTTAAATTTTACGTTGAACATTATATTTGTGTATTCCTTGTAGGTATTTAAAATTTTGAAAAGCTTTCTAAGAAAATAAAAAATTAATTTCTTAATTATTTATGCTTCATTGGCCTTTTCTTGGAGAAGGGAAAGTAATGGCTGGAGAAAATTAATGTGATACACGGAATACATTGATTCATATTGGTGTAAATATATCCACAAATGTAATCAAACATCAAACATGTATTAAAAGGGCAATATGCAGCCCTGGGAAGCTGTCCACGTGTGTTAAAATATTTAATCAATAGAATTATTTCATTCCTCCACCTCACTTAGCTATTTTCGAATGGGCTTACATTTTTTTCTAGATGGGTTTTGTTTTCAAATCCGAATCCCACTAAGCCCAATACATCAACTCCTAAAGATTAAGTTGGCGATCCTCGCTAGCCCCCTTCTCCCTTTTGTCGAAACCCTAACTTCAGTATACAGACTGGTGAATCTTACCTCTTCGTTTTCTTCGATCTCGTTTCCACAATCTCATCTACTCTCAATCAATTCCCTCTTGCACTTATTTTCTCCCTTCGATCTAATTAATGGATTCGTTACGTTTTCCTACTACTCAACCTCTTTATAAACCTCTTCTTCCAGTTCTTACCCCAAACAAAATTTTGTTATTCCTCCTAATTAATATATGGCGATGAGCTTACCTGAAAAAATGGCGTTGTCTGGTGATTCCAACTCGAAGAAAGCAAAAGGTGAAGCGGCGCTGAAACTCATCGGGAAACCTGCTGTGTCTTCCGGTCTCTCCATCGGCGGTAAGGGGAAAGCTGTTGCCTCCTCCGGCAGCAGAGGGAAAGCCGTTGTGTCCGAAAACGTTGACGAAGTGATGTCCTTCAGAAACGTCAGATTCGGACCCCAGGAAAGCGAGGTACGGTTTCGATTGATCCACTATTGGGAAGCTCGGAAAGTTCTGTCCAAGGTGCTGCTGGGTCTCGAAATGCTCCTCATCGACTCAGAGGTATAAACCTAGATCGTTACTAAAGTTTGTTCTTTTAAGATAATTTTTGTATATCTCGAATTCCATGCTCATCAACTTCTGATTTTATAAGTTAGTTCATCGCTTTCGCTTGAGGAAGAATTTTTAATATATTAGTTACTTTGTTCCCTGAAATAGTGTTGATTATCTCTTAGTCCATAGGTTCATCGTTTATGTCTGCGGTGATCTTAGCTGAATGATGTCTTTATTGTACTAGATCTTTCATCCGTAGCTGTTTACTGTGCTAGATCTTTGAAACGTATCTATGGGTCGCTTTACATGAAGTTAGCCATTGTTCTTAGCACCATAACGACAGTTTTGTAAATCTTAGTTGCTGGTTAATATTTTATTTATTTATGTTCCTATGCTAATCTTTTTTTCAAGCTTACTAAATAAAACTCTTCAACGTTGTTAACAGGGAACTGTTATCCAGGGGTTCATCCCAGAAGGACGGATTCAGGCTTATTTGCCACGCTTGAAAACTAGAGCTATTTACAAACTGATTAATTTTTTTGGGTCGAAGAACAAGGGTTTGTACCGGGTTGCTGAGCCAGATGTGACTATTACCTTCTCATGGAACTCCGTTCTCTCTGCTCTAGAGGACAGCTCGGTTCCTTTCCCTGAGGACCGGTTCCGGTTCCATGGGTACGAAGAATTTGAGGCTGCCTGCGGCTTGAAAGGAGATTTATATGGTAAGTTCTCACAAACGTTGTACCCTCCCATTGTTTGTGTAGGAAAATGGTTTAATGTAAACTGTGTATGATGTTTTTATTTGATTTATTATAGCAAGAAATGTTGTCTATGATCATGACTGGATCCAGAGTAATATATTTTGGTTTCACCGTTTGGTTTATAAGTTATAAAGTACTGAGTTTGATTGTTTTGTCTTGCAGATTATGTAGGCCACATCAAGCTTATTAATGGACAGGTTCTCAATGACAGTGTCCTCCTTGATGAAGCAGAGATAGCTTCCACCCGTCATGTTCTGCTTCCTGTACAGACACATGAGTAAGTTACTCTCTAGCTTCTTCCGTATTCTTATATGATTTCTGTTAAGAGTTGTTTTTTGGTTGTCACAGCGGTCCGGTGATGAAGCTGTACCTATGGGACAAGGCTGCCTTTGACTTCAGTGCAAAGTTCAAAGCATCTGGAAGCACTGCAAGTGTTATTTTGGTTACTGCCTTAAACCCAAAACGATTTGGAGGTTCGTATTAGGAAATTTAATATACTTTCCTACATATTCTCTTGATTTCAGTTTATTTTAATTTTGCTAAATATTATGACGTTGTTTATGTAATAGGCGCCTTATCACTATGTACTATGACACCTTCTCGGGTCTTCATGGACAGTGACGTTGAAGAAACCCGTTACTATCTCAGTTGGTAAAGCTTAAAATTTTCTTGTATTTAAATATAATTTAAAGTAATATATTGTTCAAATGTTTCGTTTCCCATTTTCTCAGGTTCAACTCAAACTTAGATGTTGCCAACAGAGTTAATGCAGAGGTGGTAACTAAGGCTGAGACGGTCACCCTAGAGGAGCTTGTGTCCTACACGAAACAAGGCGATGCTAAGGTATTAGAGTTCCATTGTTCGATAAAATCAGTCATTTAGTCTAAGTTTCTCAGTGAATTTTGAACTATTTTCCAGGTTGCTTGGTTTGAGTGCACAGCAACCATTGATGATGTTGTGCACGGATCTGGATGGTATTACATAGGCTGTGGTGTTTTCCATACAAAGGCAATCAAAGGTCCTACAACTCTAATGTGTACAAAATGTGGGGAGAGTGAAATTGTTGGAGTGGCACAGTGAGTGATTTAATTAAATTATATGCAAAGTTTGACAGCAATGCTTATTAATGTGTTGGGCTTGGTCTCGCAGGTACCTGTCGAAAATCTCAGTGTATGACAAGAACGACCAAGCTGTCTTTGTTCTCCTCGGTGATGCTGGTCAGGAGTTGACTGGAAAGAAAGCGTCTGAGCTGGTTGAGAGCTATTACGAGGTAATTTGAAAGCTCTTTATCTATGCAATTCTTACAAGATAATTGGAAATGAATTCTGGGTATTGTTAAATGTCTCTTAGGCCAATGAAAGTGTAGGCGCTGATCACATTGTTCCGGTCCCTCAAGCTCTGATTGATACCGTTGGGCAGACAAGGAAGTTCATTGTGAAGGTATCCAAACACAATTTCACCGGTAAGATCCAGACTTTCACTCTGACAAAGGTGCTACCTCTTGAAGACCAAGAAGCTGATGGCAACATAGAAGAAAACGTACAGCTGGGACCTGTCAATGATAAAGAGGATCCTACAGATGAGTCGTTGAAGAGGAGTTCTGAAGGAATTGCAACAGGAGAGACCAAGCGTGCCAAAAGTGGCTAATGTTTTTATTACTGTTTTTGCTTACTAAAGACTCTGCTTTCTTTCCTTTCTTTCCCTGGATTTTGTCTTTGCAAGTTTCAAAAAACCTTGGTTAAAATCTATTTTTGTTCAGCTTACATCTACTTAATTTTTTTTTCATAGTGGTTCGATCGTTTTTAGTGTTGTTACATATTTTGTTTTCCTTAGTTTTCGTTTGTCCTCTTAGTTAATTCTTGATTCAGGTTGTTTTACACAAGTTATAGTTTGTTAGGAGAAACAGAGGCAACAGGTTTTCAAAAGAAGACGTTATCTTCGTCTATGTCTATGTATAGATGCATTCTCGAATTATAGCTACAGGAATTGCCCATAAGACTAATTGGTACACAAATATATAGGGGTCAGGAGTAAGCCTTTTCATATCCCATAGAATTAAACGTAACCTCTTCCTTGATTCAGATAAGAGCATTCTTACGTCTATATATGCAAGCTTGGGCATATAAAACAATTTTAATATAACACCAAAACTTGTGGCTATAGAACTTTTTTACAAAAAGATACTAACTAATAATAACAAACATATAATAAGTTCCAAGATCAAAATTAGCATATAAATATAACACCAAAACTTGTGACTATAAAGTTACATATCTTCAAAGTAGCTATCGTTTCTTCCGGTGGTATTCTAAATCTTCTACAACATATCAGGTATTTACGCATCTGTTGTGTATCCTCCAAAACTCTGTAAGCTTAATATATCCATAAGAACTCAGCATATTAAGGCTAATACATATACTTAAATGATAATAGGTCGCCTAATAATAGGTCGCCTGTAAGGATCGCTGTTCCCGCAAAATGGATAACCACCCTCTCTTCCAAAAAATGCAAAGCCTTGCAGAGTCCAGGAATATTAATAACATTAATTTAGTGAATATATTTTCTAAATCCATATTTCTTAGGCTAACTTCTTACATGTCCATGCAGCCGTGCAGAGCCGCTGCACATTCTCTTTACGTCTGTTCTGTTTCACATAACCATCTGATTCTCATACTAACCAAAACTAAAACAATCTAACTCCGCCCTATGATCCGTTTTGTTACATCCACCATGACCACTCACTTTGACGTTCTGTACTTTGAGTAAAGTAATAACCATTCATCTCAGTTGAATGATCCAATGAAAACCTATATATAATTGTAATATTAAATTTCTATCTTTCGAAGTGATTGAAAAATTTAAATTGTAGATTTAATCTGTATGGCAATAACATTTAGATTTTACTATAAATTTTAAAATTAAATAACACATTCCCACTTTAAAAATGAAAAATTTCCCTACATAATAGCAACTATTATTAATTATAAATTGTGTAATACATTTAACTACAAATATAAAATATATTACAAATATTCAAATATATATATAATATGAGTTAAGAAAGCCTATTATTAACAAGGTAAAATTAAACCCTTTAAAATATACTAACATAAGACATATAATCATTAAAACAAGGATCCACATTAGCTAAACTTGAAGAACATAGTCAACTAAGAAATATTCTAATGTCTCGCACACCACAAAGGTATTTAAATTAAAGTTTAACAACTCCCGATCACTTGACTAAAATAAAATTTAACAGATTTACAATGCCAAGGGAAAATTACAATTAGAGATTCACTTACACATAATCGCAACGCAACTATGACATGTACATATTTTTAGAATATAAATTAAGGTGTATAGATAATGTCACTAACTTTATTTTAATTATTTCGAAGGTACTGCTTTCATACGTGTAAGAACATGGATACCTATCTCCCCTTCTTAAAAACACATATATCTTTCTTACTTTAATTACGGTCATCTAACATAATTCTTTTTATTATTCAAAGTTTGGTATACTTCATAACCACCAAGTTGAAATAATTAAAAAAAACAATGTTATAAATAGAAAAAAATACCAAAAAAATGATCCTAAAAAAAAAAAAAATTAACCACATATCCGTGCGTAGCGCGGAGAAACACCTTAGTTATCTATAAAGGACGAAATTGTTTGTAACTGACGAATGGGAACCATTAAAGGAAAGACTGAAAGAGACGAAATCAACTTGGAAACTCATTCATAAATTAGAGAAAAAGAAAAGAAGGAAGATGTACATTCGGTGGAGTTTTCCCATACAAATAGAAAAGCCAAATTAAAGTTTCGAAACCCATGAACTGAATCATATCATCCCTATATATAATGACTATGGATGATGAATGTAATGTCTTGTGATTCTTATACTTACTATCTGTACTATTATAAAGCAGAATCTTATTTTTAAAATTGTGAATTCTAGCATAATCAATACTATTAAATTTGGATGATGACTCAATGATATTAGTTGGGTCCAATCAAAGGTGGTCCTAGAAAATTCTGGATCAGAAACTAATTAAAAAAATTGGCCGCTTTTGTGTTGGATTGAACCTGAGTTGGTATAACAGAGTCAATAATTCTTACATTTTACCACTAGACTAAGAGAGAGTTTATAAAATATGTGGCCGATAATATTCTTATTATAAAACGGCCAGAAGCCATTGCTTCCTTTACTTGGCCCACGGACCGACTCTAGGTCCAACTATTTGTTATTTTAATATAATTAGTTTTTACAAATTAATCTACACTTTCATTCCTAATATAATAAAAGTAATGATTTAATAAGTGTGTCTACTCCTCCCATGTGGATATATAATTATTCCTCCCTTTTGGTTTGACTACTAATCTAGTGATAATTTATATTTATGTTCTATCTTATTATTATTATTTTTTTTTTTATCAAATCCCTAATACAATAAGCCTCCTTTAGTTCCTAAATTTAAGATTACTAAAACTATTCAAGTTACTACTACTATGGCGAATATCATTTATAAAAAAATACATTACGATTTTTATTAAAATAATTACTTTAAATTATTTATAAATAAAAGTCAATATATATTACTTTGGATACAAAAAATTATATATATTCTATTAAAACAACAACATAATGTATTGATATATGTGTAGTCCAATTAATTATCTTATAACTACATATTGACATATGTTGTGACAGATGTGAGAAGATACATATTAACAGATTGGATGAATAGAAAAGAAAGACACAGAGATTTAACGTGGTTCGCCCCTAACGGCTACGTCCACAGGCAAAGAGAGTACTTTATTGATGGAGGCAAGTTTTCAGAGTACAACTCGTGCTTACAGACTAGGGTAAAACCCTAAAGATATATATAAGAAAGCCTTTAATGAAACTTTCCATATTTTCTCAGATTTGACAATATCGATCGATACACAAGCTCTTGTATCGATCGATACGTGTCCAGTCAGATCGACCGATACATGACACCTATATCGACTGACGCAGATTCAAGGCATATTTCAACAAATCTCCACCTTGACTTGAAACCTCCATAATCAGATGTACCAGAATGCACTTCTTCGTGCTCAGAACAGATGTACCAGACTCTCTCTTTGCCTCAGATGTTCCGTCGAACTCAGAAGTCAGATGTCCCGTCGGACCAGATGCTCCTCAGAGCCAGATGCCCCTTAGGGCCAGACGCCCCTCAGGGCCAGATTAACAGCTTGAGATGTTCAGCAATTCAAGACAATGCTTGAACTTGCTGTGAGGAACCGGCTTAGTGAACATATCTGCAGGATTATCAGCTGTTCCTACTTTCTTCACTTCAATCCTCTTCTCATCTCTCAGAAAATGGTATCTCACATCAATATGCTTGGTTCTCTCATGATGAACCTGATCCTTGGATAAACAGATAGCACTCAAGCTATCACAGAATACAGTAGCCTGATCATGATGAAGACCAAGATCACTGACATATCCTCTCAACCATATTGCCTCCTTAGCAGAGTCTGTCAATGCCATATACTCTGCCTCAGTAGTAGACAAAGTCAGTGTCGGCTGCAAAGTCGCCTTCCAGCTCACAACAGAACCACCCAAAGTAAATACGTAACCAGTCATAGATCTCCTGCTGTCCACATCTCCTGCATAATCAGAATCAGAATACCCAGTAACCAGTCTTGGATCCTTGTCTCCATAGACAAGACCAACATCAGATGTACCCTTAAGGTACCGGAAAATCCTCTTCACAGCCATCCAGTGCTCCTTGTGTGGCTGAACCATAAACCTGCTCACTACACTCACTGCATGTGCAAGATCTGGTCTTGTACAGACCATAGCATACATCAGACTTCCTACAGCGCTAGCATATGGAACTCGTGACATATAATCGATTTCCCCTTCAGACATTTCATCACTCATGGTAGTATGAAAATTTGTAGCACATGGAGTATCGATAGGCTTAGCATTAAGCATATCAAATCTCGTCAAAACCTTTTTAATGTAGGCCTTCTGTGACAAGAACAGCTTCTTCTTCGCCTTATCCCTGAAAATCTCCATTCCTAGAATCTTTCTTGCAGCACCCAAATCTTTCATCTCAAACTCAGAACTCAGTAGCTCTTTCAGCTTCTGAATATCACACTTCTTCTTGGCAGCTATCAGCATGTCGTCTACATACATCACCAAGTAGATATATGATCCATCCTCCACCTTGCTCATGTAGACACAACAATCATAAGGACTCCTGTCGTAGCCCAACTTGACCATATAGCTGTCAAACCTCTTGTACCACTGTCTAGGAGACTGCTTAAGTCAATAAAGTGACTTCCTCAACTTGCAAACATGATCTTCTTTACCAGGAACCAGGAAACCCTCAGGTTGAGTCATATAGATCTCCTCCTCAAGTTCTCCATGAAGAAAAGCAGTCTTCACATCAAGTTGCTCCAACTCCAGATCCTGACGTGCCACTATCGCCAATAGCACTCTGATAAAGTGTGTCTGACTACAGGTGAGAAAATCTCATTGTAGTCCACGCCTTCTCTTTGACTGAAACCTCTAGCAACAACTCGACATTTGTACTTTGGTCCTTCTTCTGGTGATTGACCATCTTTTAACTTGTAAATCCACTTGCAA